AAAAAAAAAAAAAAAAAAAAAAAAAAAAAAAAAAAAAAAAAAAACAGAAAAAGAAAAAATGCTTTACTTGAATCTGCCAGCCCCTCAAGCTGTCATCGTTTATATCTACTCCCTTCTACTATCAAATTCTAGGAAGAGTTATCTACATTTTCTGGCTCTGCTTCCTACCACCCACTCACTTCTCAGACCATTGCATTCTGGCATCTAACCCTACTACCTCCCTGAAGCTGTTCCCTCAAAGGTTACCCATGCTTCATTAAATTCTTCTTTTGGTGTATTAATATTCCATAACCTTCATGTTTTACGTTCCTCAATCTAAAGGGAGCTGTTTTGGTTTTGGTTCTGAATAATCACACAAAAAAGTGCTAGTATGAATAGTTTGATGTATATGTAGGACCTTTCCACCTTCAACCTCCCTGGGGTATATGCTTAGTAAAGGGTCTGAGTCAAAGGGTATGGACATTTTAGTCATTTTAAATCAAATTCCAAATGTCTTTCTAGAATGGCTGTACTAATTCCCTTCTTCGCCAATGGTATGTTAGTGTGCCTTGCTTTCCACTGCCCCTCCAACATTGATTATTCCCACTTTTTGTCATCTTTGCTCATTTGCTGGATTTGGGGTAAAACTCCAGAGTTGTTTTGATTTGTATTTCTCTTATTAGTAATCAGCAGCAATCTTTCATATCATTCTTCTTAGTTTACATTTCCTTAGAGAACTATTTATTCATTGGGGCAGCTGGGTGGCACAGTGGATAGAGCACCGGCCCTGAAGTCAAGAGGATCTGAGTTCAAATCCGGCCTTAGATCAAACACTTGACACTTACTAGCTGTGTGACCCTGGGCAAATCACTTAACCCCAATTGCCTAAAAAATTAAAAAAAAAAGTGGAGAATTATTTATTTACAACCTTTGATCACTCATGAATTGAAGGATGGTTCTTGGTCCTATATATATGTATTAATCTTAGATATGAGACCTCTAACTATATATCTTAGCTATCAGACCTCTAATTTCATGTAATTTTTTTCCACAATCAACAGCTTCCCTTCTTATCTTATGTATGGTGATTTTGTTCCTGAAAAAGCCTTTCAATTTCTTGTCATTAAAATGATCTATTTTATCCTGTATTTGGTTAAGAACCCTGTAGCATGACTTGCATTTCTCTTTTTATTCATTTCATCTTTATCCAGTGAGTCAAAGATTTAGCCCAGAAGAATGGTAAAATAATTACTCTAGAAAAATAAGACACTTGATGGCACCACTAAAGGAGAGAGAACAGGCCAATGCTGACCTTTGTCTCTTCAATTCTGGTCCTTCTGTTCTTCCCATAGATGCCTTCTTCTGCCTGTCCAACAGCAAGAACACATCATCTACATATTGTACCTTTTCTTTCTTGTCTTTGTTCATTCAGAGAGGGCCCTGTTCTACCCTCAGCCCTATTCTGTTCAACAGTTTTAGCAGTGACTTTGACAAAGGCATAAATGTCAGATGACATCAGACTAGAAGGGCTACAACAACAAAAGTAATTACTAGCACTTATATAGCACTTTAAGATTTGCAAAGCTCTTTTCAAATCTCATTTGATCCTTGTAACTACCCTGGGAGATAGGTGCTATTATTATCCCCCACTTTACAGATGGGGAAACTGAGGCAGACAGAGGTTAAATGACTTGCCCAGGGTCACACGGTTCATAAATGTTTAAGGCTAAATTTGAACTCAAGTCTTCCTCAGGGTAGGTAAGAACTCCAAGTCCAGCACTCAATCCACTGTGCCACCATGATAGAATCAAAATCCAAAAAGATCTCAACAGACCAAAACAATGGGCCAAATCTAATAAGATGAAATTTAACAAGGATAAAAGTAAAGTGCAGCGCATGACCAAAATCAGTGCTACAGCTACATAATATAAGAGATGTGGCCAGACAATAATTCATCTGGAAAAAGTCCTTGGGATCTTAGTAACTGCAAATTTAATATGAATAAAAAGCATGATGGGATTGTCAAACAAGTCAATGCATCCTTGCCTGGTCAGGGACCTATCGTTGTCCAATCAATGAGATCCAGAGTGAATTGGGTTTAAGGTGTGGTCTTTAAGAAATCTAGCCAATAAACCCCAAGTTAACTAGGTAGGTTTCAGCCATCAAAATTTACCTTCCTTTGGGCAGAATACCCTCAGGTAAGGGTACCCCATGAGAGGGCAACCCTGAGGGTCTTCCCCTTCCAGTTTGATTTTTTTTTTTATTAAAGGGACCATCCCTTGAATCACTTCTCAAAGAGGCCTATTCACTGAATGGGTGTTGGTGAGAACTTGAAAAGACTTTAGCTTAAAAAGGCCAAGGATCAGGCGGCTAGGTGGCAGAGTACATAGAGCTCCAGCCTTGGAGTCAGGAGGACCTGAATTCAAATCCAGCCTCAGACACTTGAAACTTACTAGCTGTGTGACCATGGGCAAGTCACTTAACCCTGATTACCTCACCAAAAAAGCAAAATAAACAAATAAATAAATAAAATTTAAAGGGCCAAGGAATCCCACTGCATCCTGAGCCATCTCCAATTGTCCTGATCTATATCTGATCACTGGACCCGGATGGCTCTGGAAGAGAAAATGAGGCTGGTGACTTTGCACAGCGCTCCCTCACTCAAATCCAATTCAATTTCTAGTCATGTCATCATCTCTCTGATGTCATGGTCCTCTTCGAGAACAAAGGATAAACCACACCGCCTGAATCAGAGTCTCGTGTTCAGAGATATGAGATGATAGTTGAGTTGTGCTCTGCCCTCCTCTTAAGATAACATCTCAGGTACCAGGTCAGTTCTGGACATTCCTGCTGTCCAGAGAAAGGTAATTAGAGTGGCAAGAAGACTGGAAACTGAAATCTCTGTGGGAATCTCTTAAAAGAAAATAAGAAGACAGAAATAGGATAGAAGGGAGCCATGATAAATGTCTTCACTTACCTGAAGGGCTGTCAGGTGGAAGAGTTAAGGAATTTCCCTAGAGGCATACACCTAGTAAGTATCCGAGGCAGGATTCAGACTCAGGATTTCCAGCACTCTGTGCATTCTGCCAAATTCTCCCTCATCTTTGGAAAATTTCCACTTGAGGCTGGATGTTATATTGGCCAGGAATACTGTAGAAAGGATTCCTGCTTGAGTCAGAGTTGGGCTGTTTGAACTCTTGAGGGCCTCTCCAGGTCCAAGAGTCCATGCTCCTAGGAGTCCAGGGTTCTAGGGTTCTGTGGATCTATGCTCTTTCACCTCTGCCATGAAGGCTCTGGCTAAACTAGCTGACAGCTAATACTTATTTATGTCTCCCTCCAGGATGCAAAAGCCCTTTGTGGACTACGGAGATACTGTGATGTATGGACTGGAAGCCAGTCCCTTCCTCTGGCTTCGTAACCATTCCATGTGGGCAAGGTAATACTGTGCTCCTCACCTGTAAGTGGGGAACATACATTAAGGCCTCACTGAGAGACTGTTTAGCTTCATGGTCTTAGGAAGGAGAAAAGCATGAACGTCATTGGTGTCTACTACCTAGAAAATGAGATACTAATCTGGACTGTTTGTCCTGGGAAGCCTTCTAGTTTTCTGGGAGGGACTGTTGTCCTTTTCTTATCTTCAACCAAGGGCTTACTTGTTATCCCATGTATGAATGAAGCAAATGAAAACCTCAAAGAAGGATTTTCAAAAAACAGATAACTTATTATCAATACTACTATTAACTATAATATTAATGATAGTATTAATACCAGTTGTTTATTATACCAAAATCCTTCTTTGAGGCTTTGACAATAACAATTATTAATAATAATTAATGTTAATAAGTCAGGGCAGCATGGAATACTGGAAAAAGCACTGCATTTGGTTTCAGAAATCTGGGTTGGAATCTTGGCTCTCTTACTCAAAGTAATCTGTGTGATCTTAGACTTGCCTCTTGTGGGCCTCAATTTCCTCATCCCTAAAATGAAAGGATGAGACTAAATGATTCTTTAAGTCCTTTCCTTTTCTAAATTTTGTGATCTTGCAGTAATAATTAATGAACAACAAATTTAGAAAGCATTCAGATAAAACCTCATACAATATTAATAAAAAAAACAAGGCCATCACTCCAAATCAACTACAGAAAGATGAACACTTCTTTGTGAAAAAGGAGATAAAAGAACTGATAGTTGTTCTAAGAGCTCAAGATAAATGTGAAAAATTTAAAGAAACACTTAGGGAATGAATAGATGTAACTTCACAGAATAAGAGTAAAACCAAAAAAAAAAAACCAGTAAAATGCTATTTTTGTCATTGTTGTTCAGTCGTTTTGGTCATGTTCAACTCTTCGTGACCTCATTTGGGGTTTTCTCGCCAGATACTGGAGTGGTTTGCCATTTCCTTCCCCAGCTCATTTGACAGAGGAGGAAACTGAGGCAAACAGGATTAAGTGATTTGCCCAAGGTCACACAGCTGGTAAGTGTCTGAGGCCACATTTGAAAACAGGAAGATGAGTCTTCCTGACTCCAAGCCTAGTATTCTATCCACTGAGCCACATGCAAGCCAATCCCACATGCTATTGGATCTGTTGAATTTAACTGAAAGTCATTTATTCCTCTAGGGAGCCTATGGAATGGTTAAGATCCAGGGAATGAATTGCCCATTCTTCATGGGAGGCATCCACATTAAATCAACTAACAACATGTAACAAATGGCTGAGTGATACAGATTTGCTTGCAGAGAGGTTTAGGGTAGTGATTCAGGAAGAGGGCTTGGCCACCAGCAATTATAGAAAAAATTATCTTTAAGGAACCTGGACTTATTATTGGACACATATTATACCTGAGCATATTATGCACAGAAGAAACTATGCTACAGATCACTGCAGGCTGCAAAAGTTTAGCATCTATTCAATGTCCTAGAAGACATAATTAGGTGACCTGAATTATACAACAGAAGCTTATTAACAGAGAACAAATCCTCATATTACAAATATCTACCCCAAAATATAGTGGAGAATTTAACCAATAAACTGTAATGAATATGGTGCGTTACGATAAGTGAAACCATTGCCCATAATTGTCCAGACATACCATTGATCGATAAAATGTAAGGCTATTGTCTTCAATGAATACTCCTAACTCCAAAAAAAACTTTCAAAATATAGAGTTACTGGAAGAAATCAAAACCATCTGGGAATAGGCTGGGGTACATCATCCTTGTCATCCTATCTACTACCCAAGTTATCCTGACAATGCTTTCAGCAAGTTTGCAGAAGATGAGCTTACCTGCTAGGACTTCTAGTTCTTAAAAAAAAAAAAAAAGTTATTCTATGCACTTGTGCAATAGTCCACAAAACATTAAATGTAAAATAATAATAGCAGGATAACAATTTGTCCTAGGATAATTTTTATCTGAATTCCATCAAAAGAAATCATCATTATCATCAATAATAATAATAAAAACTTTGGACTTTCAGGTTTATAAAAGGATGTTCCTCACAGTAACCCTGGAAGATAGTTAATATAAATATTTACAAAGTATCCTTGCCATTTTATAGATGAGGAAACTAAGGTTCAGAGAGCTGTACCAGCCTGCCCAAAGTCACATAGCTAGTATGTGTTACAACTTGGCTTTGAGTTCAGGACCTATTTCTGACTCGACCACTTTCCCTGATTCTGCTACAATGCAAACCCAGCTCTTCTGACTCCAAACTCAAAGCTTTTGCCACTGTCCAGAACTTGAACCCAGGTCTCTTAACACTAACTACAGTGTTCTTTTTACTCTGCCAAATGGATTCCCCCCAGATTAGGAGTATTTCTTTTCCTTTAGAGTTTTCCTGGCTTAGTATCTCAGGAGTTGACACAAGTCAACAAACTATACCATTGGCCAGTTTAAAGGGAAGGAATCAAAGCTGTGATGATCCCGTGGCCTCTGTAGATTCCCTGGGGGGCGGTGCTGTGTACTGGGTTGGCTGGGCTCTCCTTGGAAAAGCATTCCACATAGACAGAGCAGGTCTTCTCCATCTCTATTCTCTTCTTCCAGTTGCTTCATCTCATCACCAGCCCCATGACAGTCCCTGACACTGAGCACACTGTGAGAGCATGTGCCAAAGTTGGCTGCTGTACCAGGGTAGACACTATGGAAAAACACAGTAATGGGAGCATTAATGAAATGTTTCCTTCAAATTCCATTTCATTTGTAAACTTTAAAACACTAAATAAATGTGAATTAAGAGGCAGTCAGCAAGAGGCTTTGGATAAAGGGTTGGAATTTGAGTCCAGGAGACTCGGGCTCAAATCCTGTGACATATACCTATGACTCTGAATAAATTACACAAACCTCTTAGTACCCAAGGCAATTCCCTAAGGCTGGCATCAGTTTCCTTATCTATAAAATGGCAATATTATTTATTTAATACTTTCATTAACTATCTTCCAGGGTTACTATGAGGAACATCCTTTTATAAACCTGAAAGTCCAAAGTTTTTATTATTATCATTATTGATGATGATGATGATGATGATGATGAAATTCAGATAGAAATTATCCTAGGACAAATTGTTATCCTACTATTATTACTTTATGTTTAGTGTTCTATGGACTATTGCACCAGTGTACAGAATGTTTTTTTAGGAACTAAAAGTCCTAGCAGGTAAGCGCATCTTCTCCAGGCTCAATGAAAGCATTGTCAGGATAACTTGAGTAGTAAACAGGATGACAAGGGTGACAAGTGCTAGATTTGGGATCAGAGGACATGGGATTGGATCCTGCCTATGCCATTTACTACCCATGTGACCTTGGGCAAATCCACTTCTTCTCTGGGCTTCAGCCCCCTCATACATAAAATGAGGGACCTCCAAGGTCTCTTCTAGTTCTAAATCTGTGATCCTATAACCCATAAGTTAGAGATTAATTGATTGATAGAGAAATTATTCAACACCAGCAGTTCTCATACACAGCGAAAGTCACAAATTCAGACCCCCCAAATTAATAATTGTGAGTTTTACTATTATTTCTACAGTATATTAATTATATTAATATAAGTATAGATTTATCATATATGGTTTATAAGTATTATATAAGTATATATTATATTAAGTATATTAAATTATGATCTGCAGAAGGATAGACATTAAAACAAAAACTTACATAATTTTAAGGATAACTTTTTTCTCCCTCTTTTCTAACACTGGAAGAACCTCTCAGGTCCCCCATACCCGCTTCCGGAATTTCTTTAAGTTTTGATCTTTCAGGTTATATGACAAGATAACTAGGCTGCTCCCTGGACTCAATGCTTCCTAATCAGAGCAGAGCCTTTGACCTTGAATGTTGCTCAAAGCCCTCTTCCTCCGTTGTAGGACTTAGGATAACTTCCATGGAACTTATGAACGTGATGTCTCCCTTGACCCTTGGGTTTGGGAATGACTCTAGGACCTCACCCATGTGGTCCAGTCCTCAAGAGGAAAGGGACCCTATTATCAAATAAGACAATAATCGTAAAACCCTTAGCACACATTCGCACCCCTAGAAATGCTCTCTTTGGCTATGAGGCAGAGAAGAGTGGGGAGAAGCAACCTGGAGAGAATCATAGAGAGTCCAGTTGAAATGTATGTCAGAGAGCTCAGTTCAGACCTGAATTGAAGCAGGAGTATCCAAGGGAGGCTTTGATCTGATGGAGTAGGCTTGTTATGAGGTCAGGACTTTAGGAGGAGCTGGGAGCTCCATTTGGGTGTCACTGTGAAACAGCTGATATAGCCCTTCTGGTTAAGTCAAGCGTCTCCTGACCACAAGAGACCCCCCTAATGGAAGGCCCAGTCAGGTCTTCCAACCTTGCTTCATCTTGCTGCTCACTGATGGCAGCTAGAAGAGGACCTGAGAAGCAGGACGACTTTGAATAGACCATCTACACAAAACTCAATTTTAAAGAAGGAAACTGAGGCACAGAGAGTGACTTGCCCAAAGTTAACTATGTGCTAATAATAGAGATAGAATTAATAATGATAACCCACATTTCTACCAAACGGTTTTTGGGTTTTTTTTTGCTATTGGGAGGGGCGGGTGGTGAGGCAATAGGGATTAAGTTATTTTCCCAGGGTCAAGTATCTGAGACTGAATTTGAACTCAGGTCCTCCTGACTCCAGGGCCAGTGCTCTATCTTCTGTGCCACCCAGCTGCCCCTCAAACAGGGTTTCTTAATTTTTTTAAAATGCCATGAACTCCTTTGGCAACCTGACAAAGCCTATGGACTACTTTTCAGAATGATGTTTTCAAATGCAGAAAATAAAATATATGGGATTACAAAAGAAACTAGTTATATTGAAATACAATTATTAAAATATTTAAAGACATGATCATGAACCCCAGGTTAAGAACTCCTGCAAGTATAGAACTTTCTACATTACTGTGTTCTTCACCACAACCTTGAGAGGAACAGAGATTATTCTAGACCCGTTTTACAGGTAAGAAAACTGAGGCAAAGAGAAAGAAATTCATTAGCAAATTAGTGGCAGATCTTGAACTTGAGTCCAAGTCATTTTTGTCTCTCAGTCCATTGCTAACTTGGCTATACCAAGTTGCTTCCAATGGACGTGGATGTGAAGGTGTGAGGATGAACAGAGGAACCTTAACTGGAAATCATAAACACATGGAAAAAAAGAATTGTGTAAATAAGAAGGATCTAAACTGATAAAGTCTCTTAAATTCCCTCTTCAAAACAAAGGAAAAAAAAAGATTGTTCTCTATCTGTTCCTACCCTCCCCAGGTACCTCGTGAGGTCCTTGCTAATCATTACTCAGCTGGGTTTCTGCAGTGTGTATTTTTTGTTTCTGGCTGACAACTTTAAACAGGTAAAGCTGTGACAGAGGAGAAAGGGAGGGTGGTGGGATACGAAGGGATCTTCTGTTTTGCACGTCTTCTTTCAAATGGAGCAAAGGTGAAGATAGGCAGAGCTGAAATTAGGACAAGAGAGGTGACTTGCTCAGGCTGTAAAGCACAGATGAAGGCAACATAGCTGACTTTCTATAAATACGTATCTTTCTAGTGACAGAAGACTCTAAAGCCTAAGGCTAAGGCAAGGCTAAGTTGACTTGCATGTATTAAAGCTAAAACTCAAAGCTTTCAGGGGACAGTTATATATAAGTAGAGAATGCTCAAACACTGCCCCAGCTCTAGCGAGTGAAAGGACCCAGAATGGAGCATTTACAGTATACCTTTCACCCCATCCTGTGGTCTCTCACCATCTTAGGGCTGTAACAAAGATGCCCAGAGGATAGCACCCTTGGGCTACCAGGACATTGCCCTACCTCTAGATGAGATGGCATGGAACCTTCCACAGAGCCACCACCTGCCTTTCATAATGATCCCTCAAGGAAATTCCATGCTTTTCTTTAGTAACATCTTTTCTAGTCTGAAAGTCAGGATTTTTGTTTTTGTCATCTACCCAAAACCTTTTTGTTCTCACTTATGTACATTCTCCCATAAAGAACGTTTCTCTCCTACTTTTCCTTCTCTCCTGCTTTAGGTGGAAGAAACCGCTTCCATCAGCAACAAGTGCCAGCAAAATAAGACGACAGAGGAGATGCTGCCTTATCTTCATTTGCACCTCTACATGCTCACCTTCCTACCTTTTATGATCCTTCTGGTGTTTTTCCATGACCTCCTGATGCTAGCCATCTTCTCCACTGTGGGCAATATTGCCATCCTGGGGAGTATGGCCTTGATCTTCAGTTACATTATACAGGTACTTTCCCAAGGCCACAAGTGGATTCTTTTGGGAGAGAACAAGTCATGCAGGTTAAAAGTCACAAATGAACATTCTCCATTATATGGGATGGCTCTTGGAGTGGAAAGGGAAAGGAATAAGAGGGGAAGAAAATGTAGAAATATAGAAAAAATATTAATAAGGATTTTTTGGAAAGAATTATAATTAGGATATGTAGCAACATTCTCATAAGCAGTTTAGGGAAATCAGAGAATTATAGAACCTTAGAGCCACAAGTCACTTTAGAATAGAGGCTATATATAACATATACATATACATATATATACATTACATACATGTATCTATATTTATATGTAGAAAACACACAGATTTTGGTGCCACTTTCATCAAATGGGGTTTTCACTTTTTTTCTATGTCCTAGACCTCTTTGGCAGTCTGATGAAGCCTATGGATCTCTTCGCAGAATAATCTTTCCAAACACTTAAAATAAAATAAATTATATTAAAAGGAAAGCAATTACACTGAAATGCTATTATCAAAATATCTTGTTAAAAACAAGCTCTTGGTCTCCATCCAGATCAAGAACCCCTATCACAGAAATTCTTTCAGTTGTAGAAGAAGGAGATTGGATTAGGTGTTCCCTAAGGTCTTTTTCAGCTCTAAAATTCCATGTTTTGGTCCTAAGATCACAGAGCTAGAGATAGAAAAGATAGAAAATTCCCCTCACTTTGCAATTATGGAAACTGAGGCCCAGAGAGGTTAAGCAATATTGCAATACAATTGGTAGCCTTTTACCTCATCTATCTGCCTCAAGTCTTTCTCCATTTTAATCTAACCTCCAAACAACTGCCAAAGTGATTTTCCTAAAGTGCATGTCTGACCTTGTAAATCCTCTCTACTCAACAAATTCTAGTAGCTCACTATACTTCTAAGATCAAACATAAACACCTGTTTGGCAATTAAAGTCCTAAACATGACTTCATCCAACCTTGCCATACTTCTTACACGATTGCCCTTCATGTACACTACAGTTCAGCCAAACTGGCCCTTTTATTGTTTCTCATACACAGTGCTTTATCTCCTATCTCCAAGCCTTTGCACTAGCTGTCCTCCATGCCTAGAATGTACATTCTCCTCATTTCTACCTCTAAGAATCCTTACCCCCCTTCAAGGTTCAACTCAAGAGCCACCTTTTACATGAATCCTCCCAGCTGCTGGTCCCCAACACCCAATTATCATGTATCTATTATAGCTATATCTGTCTGTCTCTGTCTGTCTGTCCATCTGTCTATCCACCCATCTATTTGTCTATCTGTCTATCTATCTATCTGTATGTGTACATGACATTCCAATTAGATTGTAAACTCCTCAAAGGTAGGGTCAGTCTCACTTTTGACTTTGTATCCACAGTTCCTAGCACATAATAGGCACTTGATATATGCTTGTTGATTGATGAATGACTTGCCCAATTGAACACTGAAATGATATTAAGTCGAAGTTTGACTTACATTTTGGGATATCTTCCTTGCTATAAAAAAAAAAACTTGAGCTTATATTCTGATGTAATAGGGTAACTTGTCATCTCTGTTCTTTTTTTTGCAGGACATACCAAATCCTAAGAACCTGCCCTGGTCAGCAAATTGGCAGACATACACCCTGTTCTTTGGGACAGCCGTATTTTCACTCGAAGGCATTAGTGTGGTAAGGTTTGAACTGGAACTTGAACTGATTATTTAGTGCATATTTATATCCTCCTCTTGAGGAATTCAATGTTTCGGAGGCCTAGCTAGGCCTATTTAAGGAAATGCTAAATATATATATGTAAAAATATATCATATATACATACCTGTATATTATAAATATATCTGTATGTAATATAAATTTATATACCATATAGAGAGATAATTATGTAGTTGGTATAATTGTATTATATATATATATATATATGTATATATTTTTATATATTTGGTAGCAAAGAAGTGAAAGCAAAGTGGGTACCCATTAATTAGGGAATGGCTAAGTAAACTGAGGCGTATATAATAAATATGTATGTATGTGTATGTATATATATATATATACATGTAATATATGTAATAGGATATTATTGAGAAATGACAGTGATGAAAACAAGGAATTCCAGAGACTTGGGAACTAACATGTGAATGAACTAATGCACAGTAAAGTAAGCAAAGCCATAACAAAACAATGAGAAGCAACGTGGTAGTAGAGAGTGTTATACCTTCGGTCAGAAAGACCTGGATACAAGGCCTGCCTTAGATGCTAAGTTGCTGTGGGAACCAAAACAAGCTATTTAACGTCTTTGAGGCTCAATTTCCTTATTTATGAAATGGGGATCATAACAGCACCTGCCTGGAGTCAGAAAGACCTGAGTTCAAATCTGGCCTCAGACACTTACTAGCTGTGTAACCCCAGGACAAGTCACTTATCCTCTGTTTGCCTCAGTCTCCTCATCTGTGAAATGGAGATAATCATAGCATCTACTTCCCAGAAGTGTTGTGAGGATCAAATGAGATGATAATTATAAAGTGCTTAGCCCAATGCCTGGCACAGAGTAAGCACTCTATAGATGTTAGTTATTATCATTATTATCACACAATGTTATTGTGAAGATCAAATGAGATAATATTATGGAAAGCACTTTGAAAACCTTAAAGCCCTATATAAATGTGAACTATTAATATGTAAACTAAAGTGATTATAATAACTAGTCTTGATCATAAAGAATAGATAATGAAACCTGCCTCCCTCCTTTCAGCAGGAGAAGCCTAAGATTTACTAGAGAAGTATGAGGTTGTATAGCAACAACAGATATGGACACACTCGACGTATTGGGTTTTTTTTGTTTTTGTTTTTTTTGCTTTTTGGTGAAGCAATCGGGGTTAAGTGACTTGCCCAGGGTCACACAGCTGGTAAGTGTTATGTGTCTGAGACCGGATTTGAACTCAGTTCCTCCTGACTCCAAGGTCAGAGTTCTATCCACTGCGCCACCTAGCTACCCCTAACATATTGTTTTTAATTGCTTAATTGTTATTCTTTGTTACAGGGAAGAGTTTGATTTCAGTAGGAGGTGGGAGGGCAGTATATTCATATGACTGATACTAAAAACAACAATAAAAACAACAATAAAAACAAACAAAAACAAAACAAAACCAAGGCATTTATAAATCTTATTTTCTAAAATAAAATAAAAGTAACATATTTGTCAGATATTACCCACCCCCACTAGTGTGGTAGAGAAAGCGTTGGACTAGGAAAAGAATTGTTTTCTAATATCAACTCCACTAATTAGCTAGATGACAACCATTACTTGTTCTTTCTGAGCTTCTAGACTGGACTGTTTACCATCCCTTAAACATATTACATGATTTTCAACCCAGGGAATCATGTATGCATGTTTCCTGTTTTCCTGACAGGGGTCTATGAACTAAGATGGTGACAAAAACTCCCCAAACTAGTTACTTCATGGAGGTCTCTGACATAAAGGGTTATTACCTTTCAGGGAGTTGTCCACGAGTATTCAATTGCATCTTCCATAGCTGAGCCTTTATAAAATCCCTTGCAAGTACTAAGGTCGTCTGTGACCCTGGTGGGTAGTGAAATACAGTTGTTGGGTTGTTATAATTGTTACATATAATTATATACGATTATATGTCATATAATACAGATGATTACATACATACACACATAAAGCAAAGTGGGTACTTATTGATCAGAGAATGACTGAACAAACTGTGGTATACAAATGTAACAGAATGTTATTGTGAAGTAACAAATGATGAATATGAGGAAACATAGGTACTAATATATGGCTGTGGTGTGAGAGGGAAATACAGAGATGGCTTCTCATGTTAGAGGACTGGTGCATTGGGATGATGTCAGACCCACTCAAGGCAATAGTGGTTTTCATAGCACCCCTGAATTGTGACTAAGGCCCAATTAAAAATACTCTCTAGATTTCTTTGGCATCTCTGGGTAGCTGCCATCTTTACTGGGTAAAGATGTTCAGGAGGGAAGATAACGCCTATGTTGTCCTTTATGTTTCCTGATCAGAAGAGCTTCAAGGTTCCCCAGAGAGATACCCAGGCAGAGGGTACATGGAAGGTGATCATTAGGCACTTGAGTTCTTTTTTTTCTTTCTCTCTTGGCAATTGGGGTTAAGTGACTTGCCCAGGGTCACACAGTTAGTAAGTGTCAAGTGTTTGGTCTGAGGCCGGATTTGAACTCAGGTCCTCCCAACTTCAGGGCCGGTGCTCTATCCACTGTGCCACCTAGCTTCCCCAACACTTGAGTTCTTGAAAAACTGACCTCATTCCTAGAGAAAGAAGGGAGAATTATGTCAGCTGTGGTGAAACTATTTTAGTGAAAGAGCCCCCCTTCAGTTACAGCCACAGTCATGTCACCAGAAGATGAATCTTTGGCCAGGTTCTGAGACAAAAATTATAACTGTACCCCAAATGGTGCACATCTAGGGGGTCGTCGTTATTCTCAGGAGATACTGCCGCCCCAGAAGGCACCTATTTGGTGACAGTTGCTACTGAGATGCTCTGAGAATGGCAGATAGCAGTCATAGAAAAGTGAAGAGAAAGACTCAGAGAGTCTGCATTTGGTGATGTGTATGTTAAAAATGGGAGATTCCATCTAGACACTGAGTAAACACGTTATGGGAAGGAGCATAAAGTATACTGAGGACTTCCACCTCAACTTTTAAACTTTAACCCAAGAGGAAGATGGAAAAATTTCCATCTCTTTATAATAGTTAGAAAAGGCACTTCTGGAAGGTACAGTAATTGTAATGTGATTGTATGGCATGGTAGTTGTAAAAAGAATGATTCAAGTCAGCTGGGAGTTGAAGACCTCATTTCAAATTCTGCCTCATGATTTCTAGCTGTGTGATACTAGCTTACTTAGATTTAGTTACTTAGTGCCATGGTTTCTTCATTTGTAAAATGAGGAGGTTAGAGTCAATGATCATTAAGTTCCCTTCAGAATCTGCTTGCTTAAGTGCTTGAAATGAGTGGGGTCTCCATAAGAAATGATGAAAGGGACAGATTCAGAGAATCCTGAGAAGACTTATATGAGCTGACACAGAGTGAAATGAGTAGAACCAGAACAGTATACACAGTAACAACAATGTAAAGAAAAACAACTTTGAAAGACTTAAAAATTTTGATCCATGTAATGATCACCCATCATTCTAGAGTATTAGTGATGAAGTATTACTACCCAGTAATACTACCCAGAAGTGATAGATTCAAGAGAAAGAATGAAATGAACATTTTTTAGACATGACCAATGTAGGAATTTGTTTTGCTTGAGTATGCATATTTATTACAAGGGTTTTGCTTTTGTTTTTGATTAGGTCAGTAGGAGAGGAAAGGAGGGGTTTAGAGTTTTTTGTTTCTTTGGTTTTGGTTTTTTTGGTGGTGGTTTTTTTTTTTTTAACAAAAAGATCAGAAAGAAGGCCAGAAGGAATCACAATCAGGACATTTTTACATGTTAAGTTATATGTTGAATTTATTATAGACTTTAAAAGAGCTATAGATAACACAGATTCACGGTTGTGTTGAATTTCTTCCTTCCATTCTGCAGTATATAAAGAAAAGATCATTTTATTTGATGGTTGTTAAGTTCAGAATTTTTTTTAAAGGAAGGGGTGGTGGGAGGGTGCTTTAAATGATGAATTCTGATTGTGACAGCTATAACAGGCTAAAAGGCAGGAGCAGCTTCTAAGTTACTTACAACAGAGAGAACCCATTGGAATCTAGAAAGATCAGCCTATAAAGACGGTTGCTCGAAGAAATAAAATTTAGCCATATGGCTCCACGTGCTAACAGCTCAGATATTAGAGATGAGTGGGCACAAATCCATCAAAGATGTCCAAGTCATCCAGTCCAGTATGCTGCAGGAATTCTTACTTCTACTGGAATTGGGGAAGATCAAGCTGAGGTGCCAAGGAGATCAACTCCAGGACTCTGACCAAGAGAGTCTACCTGGAGGGTTTGGTCAGCCCCTTTTAAAAAGGAAAAAAATAATCATTATGAGTAGAACAGATGTCTGAGTTTTGAGTGCACTCAAGCAGGAAACCAAACGTTGACCTTCCAGAAACTATATCGTTCTTCCTGGAGCCTCTATTTTGAGGCTCATGGGAGGGGTCCATGCTGGTTTAACAACCAGCTCTCTTGGGGGGAAGGGGCAATGTGCACATGATATGCTTTTAAGTTTAAACTGCATTCTTAATATTTTATCCATAATTTCATTAAATCTAGACAATGAACAAAAAAAAATCCTGCCCAATTTGCAGTATTCACCTTTCCAACATATAAATGCTCACACAAAATTTAACAATAGGTTCTCCAGGGCTGATTAGAGCAAGCTCCATCATACTGTTTGGAGTTAGCCCAGCCTTCATTCACTTCTCAGCCCTTTCCTAACTTTCTAGACTTCAAAACTATGCATTTCATCCCGGACCTTGCCTCAGTTGCTGGGGCCTGCTGCCCCTGGAACATCCTACTATGTTCCATGGCCTGCTCACCCTGGAAAATGCCTCCCTCTCCACTTCTCCAATGGTGATTTTCTCCTGGAGTCTCCACTATGTGGGAGGTCCCAGGATGACCTGCTTTCATTCCTCTCCCAGTCCTGTTCCTGGCATTCTGGACTTTAAACCTATGCCCCTGAGTGGG